CCACGATTTGTAGGCCTTTTGTTTCGTTTTGTGTGGCCTGCGGTGGCATTGAGTGGCTACTCCTCCTCTGGGGGATTCGGGGCTAGCTGGGCAGGCCCCTTCTCCTGCACTCTATCAGGTTATATTCGAGTGGGTTTGCTTGGGGCGTTGTCAAAACGTCCTCATCCCTCAGGTGGGTTTCCCGCCTATTTCCGGTGCCGAAACAGGACTGCACAGACACATATTGGCGCGTCCCGATTCATCCAAGGTTCAGTGACTGCCCCGGTTTTGTTGTGGGGCGTCAAGGTTACCACTTTCGTTGCCTTTCATTTGGCTTGAATCTGGCGTCTCTCATTTTCACACAACTTACTTGGGTCGTGGCGGCCCACCTGTATCTGTTAGGTGTTCGGGTTCTGGCCTACCTCGACGACAGGCTGGTTTGGGCTCCCAGCCAGTCCGTGTGTCTGCTCACCAGGGATTTGGTTTTTTCCCAGCTCGCCAGGTTCAGGTTCTTGGTGAACTGGGGGAAGTTCCATCTGGTTTCCTCTAGAGTTCGGTTTTGGCTGGGTCTTGTGTGGGACGCTCGGAGTGCTTCCTTGTCTCTGCCTCCAGCGACTCTGCTTTTCCTGCATTCCTTCCTTTGTCTATTTCTGAGGGGCTTTTGGGTCACACAGCAGTTGCTCGAGGGTTTGTGTGGGAGCCTGAACTTTGCCATGATGGTCTACCCGCCGGGTCGGGTGTGGCTTCGTTGGCTGTTCTGGTTCCTTCGGGGACGTCCCTTCTGCCACTCTTGTGACCACTGGGTTCAGCCACCGGGGTCTTTGTATCGGTTGCAGCATCGCCGGCTTCCTCTTCGAGTTTTTGGGGTTCAGTGTCTTTGCGCCTACTTGAGCCCTCTCATGATGTGTACACGAATGTGTCGTCTCTTGGCTCTTGCCTTTGTGACCAGTGCTCACCAGGCTGGCCAAGGGCAGTGGGGTCCATCCTTCTGTCAGGTTCACAGCATGGTGTGGGTGTTTACGGCGGGGTGGGTGTTGCTTTGGAGGGTTCATGTCGCTTGCGGATAGATGAACCGGCTCAATTCGGACTGTGCTTCAGTGGTTCATTGCCTGAACCCAGGGAGTTTGCTGCGATCCTTGGCTCTTTGGGGCTGGTCGCTTTGGGTGACTCCTCTGCTGAGTTTGGCTCTCCTGGCAGTTCATGCTCGGGGGGTGTCCAATGTTCTGGTGGACGGCCTGTCCCGGTTCATTCCCCTTTCCATGGAATGGACGATCGACTCTGACTCATTCAGTTGGCTTAACCAGATGTCCAGGCCTCCAGAAGTGGATCTCTTCACATCGGCATGGTTGTGGCATCTCTCGTTATACATGGCCCCCCTTCTCCAACTGAGGCCATCGAGGTTGACGCCTTCAGGCAGGACTGGGCGAGGTGTGGTTACCTATATGTCTTTCCCCCGGTTCAGCTGTTGCTCCAGGTCCTGGTTTGTTTGAAAACTTACCAGGGGAGAGTTATCCTTCTGGCTCATTGGCGGCTGGCCTATCCTTGGTTTCAGGCTCTGCTTGTTCGGTGTCTGAACCCGAGGGTCCTCCCACGGCTCTGCCTTTTTCAGCAGATCGGTCCAGCCCAGTACGAGGGTCGGTCGTTCTTCTCCTCGAGTCTTCACGTCTGGAGTTTCTGACTCGGGTTTATCATCACTTGTATGCGGTGCAGGTGGCTTCATTGTTGGTGTACCACCTGCGTGCTTCATCTCGGCGGCAGTATGAAGTTTCCTTGCGGTCCTTTCGATTTTTCCTATCACTGCGTAGGTGTACTTCGGTCTCTGATAGGGTTGTTTTGTCCTTTCGTGGTTGTTTCAGGACCGTCATCTTATGCCAAATACTGTCACCTCGTATCGTGTGGCATTAGCAAAACCGCTACAGCTTGCCTTTGGTATTGATGTTACATTTGCTCCGTTCTGCAAGCTGTCTCATGTGTTGTTACCGGCCTGCTCATGTGCCGCCTGAGCCATCCTGGTCTTTGGACCAGGTGCTCTCTTTTCTCTCTGCTCCTCCGTTTGTTGTGGCCCCTTCGGTTCAGGACTGTTATTCTAAGGCTGTTTTCCTGCTGGTATTAGCCTCTTGGGGTCAGGTTGGGAAGCTTCATACTCCTCTCCGGTGCAGGGGTTTCAGCTCTTTTGGTCCTGGTGGTAGGTTTGTTCGGATGCAGGAGACGCAACTGTCTTCTTTTCTGGCGAAGAATGAGACTGCTGCCTTCCAGAGGGGTCCTTGGGTTGTTGATGCTTGGTAAGTCAGGCCAGGGGTGCATCATGTGTTGTGTCTGGTTGCAGCTCTCTGCTGTTGTTTGCGTGCCACAGCTTTGGTGGCTGGGGATGGGCTTTGGGTTTACCCAGTTTCCCTCCTTCTCCGTTCCCGGGCTCAGGTTTTCCAGGTCGTCCACAGGGTTATTAAGTCTAGCCAGCTTGTGGTCTATCATTATGCCCACTACGTTCGGACCCCTGCGTTGTATTGGGTCTGCGGTTGCAGCCAGTTGTCTCGATTTCGCATTAAGGAGTGAGGACTGACCGCCGCCCAGCTAAGTCCCTGTTTTTCCTTGTCTTTGGGTAGTTAGCTCCGTAGAAGGGAGCTGGCCGGCCGAGCGGACAGCACGCTGGATTTGTGATCCTGTGGTCCTGGGTTCGATCCCAGGCGCCGGCGAGAAACAATGGGCAGAGTTTCTTTCACCCTATGCCCCTGTTACCTAGCAGTAAAATAGGTACCTGGGTGTTAGTCAGCTGTCACGGGCTGCTTCCTGGGGGTGGAGGCCTGGTCGAGGACCGGGCCGCGGGGACACTAAAAAGCCCCGAAATCATCTCAAGATAACCTCAAGATAACCTCAAGAAGCCAACAGGGCTCCCCCCAGGAAACCAGTGTTGAATGTAATGAGGCGCCGTTTTCTGGGTGAGTCATGGAGGCTCCCCAGCATTCTTCCCTCCCTCCGGTCTGTAGTGTCTTTCACATGTTTTTGACATCCAGCCTAAAAACTGGGTCTGGGGCGCGAGGGTCTGGGGCTCCCTCTTCCCCCTCTCGGGAAGGAAGAGGGGAATACTCGGACAGCGGCGTGGCATCGTGATGACGTCATACTCATTTGCTACTTTTTGTTTGGGGAGTTCTGTCCATTCGTTCGACTTTCAGTAGTAATATTTTCACCAGAATACTTTCAGTAGTAATATTTTCACCAGAATAGGGGTTTGTTTTGGAGTGCCTACCTTTCCGGGTGCCAGACCTGGTCGATGGCAGGCATAGACATAGAATGCTTCCAACCACACTGGGTTTTTTATAGGCCATGGCTCCTTGTGCCTCATCTGAGGAGGCCAGGTTCAGGCTCGTGGTGCCCGGTAGGCCGAACTCCATGCACTTTCTGACTGATGCCAGAAAGTTAATAATATCCATATGAGCCTGAATAGTTCCAGGGAGCCTCCGGGACTCACCCAGAAAATGGTGTTTCATTACATTCAATGCTGGCTTTTTAATTCTGAAAGTTATTTTATAGCATGCCTTTGCACTTTATCCAGTTTAATTATATGCTTCTTGAGATATGGACACCATGCAACTGCTGCATATTCTAATTAGGGTCTCACAAAAGTCATGAACAGTTTCTTTAGTATTTCACCATCCATAAAATTCAAAACTAGTCCTAAAGTTGCAAAGCAACACATACACTCCTAGCACAATGTTCTTTATGTGTTCCTCTGGTGACAGTTTACTATCCAAAACCACCCCTAGATCTTGTTCTTTAAATCCTTTCCACATAATTTGTAAGTTGTTTGTGGTCTGTTTTATCCAATTCTGCATTCCATAACATGACATTTATTCACATTGAATTCCATTTGCCACATGTTGCACCTAGCACTTACTTTATCTAGATCCATTTGTTGGCCATGATTATCGTCTCTGTATCCTATCTTCCCCTTTAGCTTAGCATCGTCCACAAGCATGTTCATATACTTCTCTATTCCTTCTGGTGGATCATTTATGTTGATGAATAAAAATCATTTTGAGGCAATGGAGTGACTAGAACTCACATTCTGATGATTCCGGACACCTGCCTAAACCAATTCAGGTAACACACCTTCTCTCTGCATCTCTGTGAAGGGGTTCCACATTCTGACTCAAGTCTCCAGTACTCCAAACAAAACTCTGTGGCTGATGTGACTTAGCAGTTGGGAACCATCTCAGTAACATAGCTTCAGGAAGCCACCATGACTCATTGAGGAAAAAGGCATTTCATTCATTTAATACTAGTGTTTTTTTGTTGTTAGGAAGTTTTAATCAAATGTGTGATCTTTTCTACATTTCCTATAGCAATTGGTACCGGACTTGGAGAGATTATGTACTGTATATATTTTCATGTAAAATATATATATAAAAGGTACAGTTTTAAATTCCTTAATCCCTAATGTGTATGATACTGTGATTATGTAATGTAAAATACTGTTTAGTATTTCAATGTGAGGATGATGAAACAGCAAAGTACTCCAAGGTAAGCAAAAAGTTCAATTATAATTTTTCTTCATAAATGCTATAAAATGTAATTTTTACATTTTAGAATTAATATACAATACAGTTATATACAGTACTGTACTCCTAGGTGAATTCTATTTACTGTAGTGAAAAATCACACCTATTTATATATGAATGCAGTAAAATATTTGAGTAACTTGTATCTCTGTGGAACTTGTTTTGGGGCCCACTCTTTATGATTTAAATTAGTGAGTGTTCTCTGTGTATTGAGAAACAATTACAGTATTACTGTATTTGTAGCACTCATTTCTTCATCATTATCAGTTACTAAACCAGTCTCATTTTTCAATGCTGTATTCTTCTCTCCAATCTTAGATTTATCTCAAAGAACTAATTAGAATTAGTCTTTGCCTCCTTTGTTATCTGCACTCCATGATATTGTTTTATTTGTTATTTGGCACATTTCTTGCTAGTATGATATTATCCGTTTAATGGAAATTGCTTTTATTTTTACTTTCATAGATAAAATGGCTAACAGCACTAGATCAAGCATTTGACCTGGACTTCCTAGAGGCATCAGTAATATCTGCTCTGCATGCTCTTGCTTGTACTGTGGCCGAGATCAAGGAAGCAACTGAAAGTCTTGAAAAACAGGGCAAAGAGGTAAACAATTGTTTCATGTAATGGGTTACTCTGTCAAAAGGCAGGTCAGTGTTTGCCAAAAATATGTCTCATCTTAGAAATTACAGTAACCACTTGATTTAACCCTTTAACCACTTAACTGCGCCAACCGAGTATTCTCGGTCGGCGGGAAACTGCGCCAACCGAGAAGACACTTTTTTATTTTTCAGTACCAATTCTAAATGTGTACGAGGTTGGTTGTGTATGAAATAGACTCTTAGGACCTCCAGTGAGAGGCAGCCATCTTGGAAAAAATTCCCAGAATGCCCTAGGGCTGCTGGCTCGGTTAGTACTGAATGAGCAACCATGGGTGGTGCACGCGCAGCTGGCTCCCAAACACCTGTCCGACGCGGTGATGAAAGATAACGCTCTGTCGGTGAAATTCAAACCTTATTGTTTGAAGAACACAAGGGTCATAATATTGGTGAAGCTAGGCACAATAAGGACCTAACACAAAGGTCGGATGCAAGTGATACAACAACTATGAGGACGATACAGTGAGAGTATCCAGTTGTAGCTCTGAGCGTCACCCTTGCAATCCTATGCTGTCTACAATTTATTTAGATGATACATAGATGAATCGTTTTCTGCGTTCAGTGATGATGCATCTGATACAAATAGCATAGATGAACAGTGTTAGTGGCTTCCATGGACCTGAATCTCTTCCTAACTGATGGACACTCTTTGTGGCTAGCTGAATCTTTTTCTGACTGACGGACACTCTTGAGATAAGCTGAATCTCTTCCTGTGTGGGACCATACAAAGCGATCTTTTCAAGACCTTTACCTTACAAACTGATCTTTTCCCATAATCTTTTCAATAATACCTTATGCTTTACAAGCTTGGCTACATACAACCTACAAGTACTAAAGTCAAGGGTGTACGTGAGTGCGTTATTTGCAAGCACACAGAATGAAGAAACAGGAAGCAAAAATTTATCTGTACCTGGTTCACTGAGAGCGAAGTCGCGCTGTGTACCATGGGCTACTTCGATGATTATTAATCATTTCCGAAGTACTGAGTGTGTAATACAGTGTGTTACTGTGTAAATAGTGTGTGAAACTGTGCATATTGTAATTTTAGTGAAATTTTAACAGGTAATATTGCGACTAATAAACATTTATTGTGGACTCATTACTGACACACGTATCACTGTTCCAGGAAACATTATGAACGTTCTACTGTATACATATTGTAAAGGACACATATACGATAAAAAACAAATAAAATCGCATTGGAAATACATTAAACAAATAATTGAAAAAATATTTGTAGCAACACCCGGTGCTAGAATGGCCCACGCGACCGTGTCTGGGCGATTCACGCACAGGTGACCAGGTCCTGATAGCGTCACAGCGCACCTTGTCCACGTCCCCACAGCCAAAGTAAGTGGAATTTGGTATTTATTTTTACATAGACATGTTCAGGGAAGGGAATTTATCATTTTACGAACTAAAAAGAATTCTTTGAGAGCACTTTATTTCATGCGCACCGTGGGAATTTCACAATAAACTCGGCGCAGCACGGTGGTTAATGGCTCTATTTGTATACATGTATATACAGTTTTGGTCTAACTTCCTTCACAGCGCACATCACATACAGTGGAACCTCGGGTAGCAAATATCCCTCTTTATGAATTTTTGGGGTTACGAACTCAATTTCTTCAGAAAATTTGAATTGGGTTATGACCTTTGCCTCGCCTTGCAACCTTGTTGATACATGTATGGGTCGACCGAGCGTTTTGTTCCTGGTGGCATGGACAAGGCACACTTCAGTTTACCAGTGTCATCCTCCTAGTGATGATCTCACTTGAATATTGTATATGGGAGGACAACAGGATGGATGGTGGGGGGACTCGATAGATGGGTGGTGGGGGGGGGGGGAACTGGATAGATGAATGGTGGATAGAAGTGGATGGATAGATAGGGGGGGGTAACTGGATGGATGACTGGAAGGAACTGGATGGATGACTGGAAGGAACTGGATGGATGGATAGATGAGATGGTACAGTTCTTATGTTGGCCAGTCTAGCATATGCTGCTGATGATATCCTTTGGATGTGTGCTTCTGGGGAGAGGGTCGGTGTGATATCAACCCTCAGATCTTTCTCGCAGGGATTTCTTGCAGGATTTCACCTCACAGATGGAACCTTGTGTTCAGCCTTCTGCTCCCTTTTCCTAATTTCATTACTTTACACTTTGCTGAGTTGAACTTTTATTAGCCATTTTCTAGACCATTCCTCCAGTTTGTCCAGGTTGTCTTGTAGTCTCTGTATATCTTCATCTGTCTTGATCCTTCTTATAATTTCTGAGGGGAAGCCCCGTCAGCTTCCTGGAGCTATCCAGCCTGATATGTATCTATTAGCTTTCTGGCATCAAAGTGTATGGAATTCTTGCCTACTGGGGACCATGACCCAAAACCTGGCCCCCCTTCAGAGAGGCACGAGGAGCAATGACCTATAGAAACCCCTGTGTGGTTGGGAGCATTCTATGTCTGCCATCGACCATGTCTAGCACCCAGATAGGTAGGCACTCCAAAACAAAACTCTATTCTGGTGAAAATATTGCTACCGAAAGCTGAACGAGTGGACAGAACTCCCCAAACAAAAGTATCAAACTAGCATGAAGTCATCACATTACCACCTCGCTGTCAGCGCAACACCCCCTCTCCCTGGGAGGGGGAAGGGGGAGCCCCAGACCCTCCGCACTGGCGATCCCACTGGCAGTTCTTAGGCTGGATGTCAAAATACCTGAAAAACACTGCCGACCGGAGGGAAGGAGGGATGCCGGGGAGTTTCTGGGACTCGTCCAGAAAATGGGGTTTCATTACATTCAACGCTGGTTTTAAGGGGAAAGCCTTGTTGGCTCCCCAGAGCTACCACACCACAGATAAGGAAAAGAAGGAAGGATCCGGGAGGCAGACACCACGTGTCCTAAACATAAAAATAAGACTACAGATGAAACTAAAGGACCCTGCAGATGACCCGGGAGACCCGAACCCCAGAACAGGAAGGAGGGAAGGAAGGGAACCCGGGCAAACCAAAACTCATTCACGGCCCCAGAGGACAAGACGTACAGAGAACAGGTAAGAGCCGCAGCCGAACAACAAAGGAAGCACACCCAGTGTGACCAACCAAGCAGCAATCCAAGGACCAAACCGAGGAGAATAAAGAAAATAGACCACCCGGGCCAACAACCAGGATGGCACTGGAAGCGTAAGAGCAGGCCAGAGGTGAAACAACGCCCAAGACAGCAAGCGGAACGGAGCAGAAGGAACAGCAACACCGAACGCCAGCTAGATCGGCTCTGCCAGCACCACCCAAGATGAGGCGACAGTACCCGGCACCAGACGATTCCGGAACAACCCCAAAGGGAAAGACAAGACAACCCTATCAGAGACCGAAGAACCCTTTGCAGTGATAGGAAAACCGAAAGGACCGCCAGGAAAACTACACAATGCCGCCAAAATGAAACACGCAGGTGGGAGACCAACAATGAAGCCATCAGCACCCACACAAGCGACGAGAAACTAGAAACAAAAACCCGAGATGCAAAGACTCAAGAGGAAGAACGAACCAGCCTCGTACAGGGCTAAACCAATCCACAAAAGAGGTGGAGCTGCGGGAAGACCCACAGGAATGGAAACTGAGTAAAGTAGCGCCCCCAACCAAGGCTGGCAAAAACCAGAAGGAATGGCCGCCAAGGAACCAGGAACCCAATCCCGGCGAGCCAAAAAGGAACCAACCTGGGCGAGCAGACACACCCTGTCCGGGAGGAACCCCCCCCCAGGACCCCTGAAGGAGCAACAAGGCCAAACACTGAGGAGTCAGGGCCCAGGCGAGGCCAACGAGGAAAATGAGCACCACAAACTACAGCCCAAAACGTGAAACGAAAAACAGCGACCCCGCAACCCAAAGGAGCAGCACAACCAGCTCCAGAAAGAAAGAACGACCACGCGTCTCCGAGGTATACACAAGGAGAACTACTCAGGACGTGTACAGCAGGAAAACAAAAACGTACGTTCCGGAAAATGACCAAAGAAAAACCAGAGCCAGGACCGGAATCCTAGCTACTCCCGTCCCAAGAAAAGGAACCAGTAGGGCAGGAGCGGATGACCGGAAGTCCACAACCCCTGCAGACAGTGCAACACAGAAGCCTGCAGTGAGATACAGTGTGTCCTCACTTGAACGAACTATATGGGGCGAAGCCGATTCGTTCCAGTGCGGAATTCGTTCCATCCGTCCAGCCCCAACAACCTTCTTATTTTTTTTTTTTAAACATATGCCAGGACACATTAGTTTGTTTCTTTGTTGTGTGGTGCTTCATTATAATATCTTTCATGCTCTTTTGGTGTCAATAATAATCTGAGATGTGAGAATCACCATCCCCCACACCACCCACACCATCCCCCACACCACCCACACCATCCCCCCACCACCCAGGTGAGATAACAGGAAAGTGCTAAGGGAAGTGAAAAATCGGATGAGAAAAAGTTGCCCTAGTGTTTACAGTGCAGAGAAGAACATTCAAGATGGCCACTGGCAAGGGGAAAAACAAAACAGAGCTTGATTTTGAGGGATTCAATGAAGAAAGCATTGATATTAGTAGTCTACATAACAAGTTGGTAAATTTAGATACTATAGTGAACTCTCATGTAGAAATAATTAGTAAATTGAAAGAAAGTAATGACCATTTGAATAGCAAAGTTTTATGTCTTGAGGGTTTAGTGAAAGACTTGCGCAAGGATAAGAATCAATTGGAAACAAATTGCAAAGCCATGGAAGAAGAAAATAAACTCTTAAAAATAGCTTTGGAAGAAGTTAAAGTAAATTTAAACATAAATGACTACAATAGGTTAGGCAAGGAAATTCAACAGGAGAAACAGCTTTTGTCAGCACAGATGGAGGAAGTTACACAGGGAATAGAACAGTGCAAGAAAGATATGCAACTCACTTATGCACAAGTGGCCAAGGAGAAGGAAAA